ATCGGTGATCGGGCCTTCAGCCTCTCAGCCCCCAGGCTCTGGAACTCCATCCCCCAGTGCCTTCGCCTTGCTTCCTCCCTTTCCTCCTTCAATGCCGGTCTCAAAACCTTTCTCTTTCACCGTGCCTTCAGCTCCCGTCTCGACTCTCTTCCCCCTTCTCGCTCCCTCCCTTCCCTCCCCTCACCCTGACTATTTCCCCCCTCCTCGCTAGCTCCCTTCCCTCCCCTCACCCTGACCATTTCCCCCCTCCTCGCTCCCTCCCTTCCCTCCCCTCACCCTGACCATTTCCCCCCTGCTCGGGTCTTGACCCAACTGTGCAGCGCCTTGGGACGTCCTCCTGACGTGAAAGGCGCTTTATCAATGGAATCTTGTTGTTGTTGTTGTTGATATTCCATGATACTGCCCCACAACACTTCTGATGGTCTAATTCCATAACAGCCTGCACGCTCCCTTTGCCAGGTGGATACCTGCTTCAGTTCCCTTGCAAATTCTGCCTCACCATTGGCGTTCAGGCATTCAGCCTATATGCCCCCTGTCTCTAGAACTATATCCCACAATCAGATCCCTCCACCTAAGAATCTATATTGCCTACTGCAAGTCCCTTCCCAAGAGCTGCTCTTCTGCTACAACTTCACAAACCTCCCAACCCCTTGCCCTCCAGCGCTCCAAAACCCAACTGGTGCCCGGGTCAAAATCCACTACTTCTCCTACGTACTGGAATGTCTTTCTGACGTAAAGGGTCCTTCACAAATGTATTTTTTTGTTTTGTAACGTGTATCTCCATCCGTCTGTTTGTCTGCCTACCCGTGTTGTGTGTATACACCTGTATATCTATCTCTCTGTGTACGTCTCTCTGTGCCTTTCTTTGACAATGTATATCTCTCTCCGAGGCTCTGTCAAGGACACCACTTGCCCTGTGCCCCTACTCCACTGGCTCTTTCCCCTCCTTTGAGCACCTCACTCTCTCCCACCCCTCATTCCTCTCCCTTAAAATCCTCCTCCTGTACCGGCCCCCTAAAACCTCTCCCACCTTCATCTCCGACATTTCAACACTCCTCACATCTCTTTGCCTCTGCTCCGATCGCCTCATCATCCTGGGCGACTTTAACCTACACTTCTCCCCCTCCTGCTCCATCTCCACAGACTTCTCTTCCCTGCTTTCCTCACTCAACCTCTCCTTACACTTAAACTCACCCACTCACAGTCACGGCCACCCACTCGATTTGGTGATCACCCGGGGCCTCAGTGTCTCGGATGTCACTATTACCGACAAGGCCATCTCTGACCACTACTTCATCTCCTTCACCACCTCCACCCCCCTCCCCACCTCCAACAGACCCACCACCATCTTCTACCGCCCTTGGAAGAAGTTACCCCCACAATCCCTAACCGATGCCTTGGAGTCCTCTGAACTCCTCTCCCTCTGGCCTTCAACCCTCACCGACCCCTCTTCTCCTCTCTCCCTCCTCCACAATACCCTCTCCTCCACACTCGATACTCTTGCCCCCATCACTTCCCGCACTGTCTCCTACCCCCGCTCCTCCCCCTGGTACACCACCCACCTCCGCTCACTGAAAAGCCAGGTGCGGGCTGCTGAACGCACCTGTGTCAAATCTGGCCTAACGGTCCACCGACAAATCTGGCTGGACCTCCTCAAAATTTACCGCTCCACTCTAACCTCGGCCAAGTCGTCCTTCTACTCCATGATAATCCTGGAGGCGAAGAACAACCCCAGGCTACTGGTTTCCACCACAACCCGATTCCTCCGTCCCCCCCGCCACCCCGCGCAGGTCATCTCCTCCAACCATCACTGCGAGGAGATGATGGATTTCCTTGAATCCAAGATCAAGGGAATTCGCTCCGCGGTCACTTCCCCTCCAACTTTCACCAACCCCCGACCCCCTCACTCCTACACTCCGAAACCTACCCATCCTCCCCTACTCACTGTTGTACCAGTTTCCCCACCCTCTGTCACTAAACTCATCCTATCCCTGAAACCAACGACCTGCTCCCTTGACCCCATCCCCACTCCACTCCTTATCTCCCAGCTCCACTTTCTTGGCCCACATATCACCGACATCATCAATCTGTCCCTCTCCTCTGGCTCTGTCCCCATTCCCTTAAAAACTGCCACCATCACGCCTACCCTGAAAAAACCCTCCCTTGATGCGTCGCAGCTATCAAGCTACCGGCCCATCTCCAACCTCCCCTTTCTCTCCAAGGTCCTGGAAAGAGTTGTCGCCTCCCAAATGCGCTCTTTCCTCTCCACCCATTCACTTGTCGAACCTCTTCAGTCAGGTTTTCGTGCTGCCCATAGCACAGAAACTGCCCTGGTCAAGGTCACCAATGATATCCTGACCATCTGTGACCAGGGCTCCCTCTGCCTCCTCGTCCTCCTCGACCTATCGGCAGCATTCGATACGGTCGACCACGCTATCCTACTCCAACGCTTGTCCTCCCACCTCAACCTTGAAGGCACTGTCCGTGAGTGGTTTAGGTCGTACGTTTCTCACCGTCTTCACTTTGTCTCGACGAATGGCTTCTCCTCCACCCCCCGTACTGTCTCATGTGGTGTCCCTCAGGTCTCTCTCCTTGGTCCCCTCCACTTCACCCTCTACATGCTCCCCCTTGGTGACATCATCCGCAGACATGGAGTTAACTTCCACATGTTTGCGGATGACACCCAACTCTAACTTTTATCCTCTCCTCTCAACTCCACGACCACCGATGTCCTGACAGCTGCCTGTCCGACATCGAGTCCTGGACGACAGACAACTTTCTTCAGCTCAACGTGCGAAAATCCGAGGCCCTCCTGATTGGCTCAAGTCAGCGCCTCCGCACCTCAGGCGCCGACAACATCAGCATCCAAGGCTGCACTCTCCACCTCTCAAAGCCAGTCAGGAACCTCGGCGTTTTGTTCGACCCTGAGCTGTCCTTTCTCCCTCACATACGCACCACAACTAGAACCGCCTTCGATCATCTCCGGAACATCGCCAGACTACGGCATTACCTCACCCCTCACGCTGCTGAAACCCTGGTCCATGCTTTTGTCACCTCAAGGCTGGACTATGGGAACTTTCTCCTCGCCGGCCTTCCCGCCACCTCCCTCCACAAGCTGCAGGTCATTCAGATCTCTGCAGCTCGTGTACTGTCCCGCACCAGGCTTCGCGACCACATCACTCCCACCCTCGCTCGCCTCCACTGGCTCCCCATCCCCCAGAGGATTGATTTCAAGATCCTCATCCTCACCTACAAGGCCATTCACGGCCTTGCTCCCTCCTACCTCTCCAACCTACTATCCCCCTACCTACCTGCCCGTACCCTCCGTTCCTCTGGCTCCGGTCTGCTCCACGTCCCCCGCCCCAACCGCCCTACTATCGGTGGTCGGGCCTTCAGCCTCTCAGCCCCGAGGCTCTGGAACTCCATCCCCCAGTGCCTTCGCCTTGCTTCCTCCCTTTCCTCCTTCAAGGCCGGTCTCAAAACCTTTCTCTTTGACCTAGCCTTGAGCTCCCCTCTCGACTCCCTGCTCCCTCCCTTCCCTCCCCTCACCCTGACCATTTACCCCCTCCTCTCTCCCTCCCTTCCCTCCCCTCACCGTGACCATTTCCCCTTTGCTCGGGTCATGACCCAACTGTGTAGCGCATTGGGACGTCCTCCTGACGTGAAAGGCGCTTTATAAATGGAATCGTGTTGTTGTTGTTGTTGTTGTTGTTGTGTTCGTTTGCCCGGAAGCTGAAATGTTGATCAAGTTTCCATTTTCCACACGCCAACATTTCCTTAGCAACCACTAGGAGCTTGGCTGTTATTCGATTGACGAACTGCTTATCTGGGGATAATAATCCTTCCAGAAAATATAATGATTTGGTCAATTCAATCCACAACTGTTTATGGGACACTGATGTGCGAAATTGGCCGCCGCGTATGGCCCACAAAATGCTGGAGCCAATTCTGCACAGCAGCATCACACAAACATTTCATGCTCGCACTTCCCTACTTTACTGATCTAATAACTTCCAACATCTCCAAATTAAACGCCAACAGCCTCCGCTCAGCCTTCTCCTGCCTCCTGTTTCTCTCTGATCACCTCGAATCCAGCATTAGTTCCCGTGCATTTAGTCGCTGCAAATCGAAACTTTGGAATACTCTACTTTCTTCCTTCTGCCTCTCCCACCCCACCACCACCCCACAACACCCAACCCCCTCTTCCTCCATACTATCAAATGCTGCCTAAAGACTCATTGGTCAGAGTCAGGGACAAGACCAGGGCTAAGACCGTCGAAGGCCAAACGCAACCCCAGCCCAGAATCTAAATGAATCCTCCAAATTCATTGACATACATCGTGTTTTGTTGTGCGGACAGTTCTGGCGCCATGGAACGTCCTCCTCACGTGAAAGGCTCCCAACAAAAGCAATTTTGTTGTTGTTGTTTTTTTGTTCACTTCCCAACTAAATTAGCTCACCTCCCAACTCGCGCTCCCATGAATTGTTTCCAGAGTCTGCCACTATCATGCGCTAAGATGTTTCCCACTTGAACAGCACTATACATAAATAATTGTGGAGTCCTGTAGCTCAGTGGTTAGAGCACTCGCTTTGCAAGCGAGAGACCTGAGTTCAATTCCAGGCAGGGCGAAACCTTGGGCAAGTTTCCTTACTCCACACGCCTAATAATAATCCCTCCAAAAAACCAAAAACAATAATTAAATTGGTCATTTTCAATCTACGACTGTTTGTGGGACATTGCTGTGTGCAATTGGCTGCCGCGTTCGCCCACAAATATACAGTCAATTCACTTTACAGTGTGTTCTGTGAAGCGCTTTGGGACGTCCTCCCGACGTGAAAAGCGCTATATCAAATGCAAGGATTATTATTATTATTATTATTATTAATTGTGTTGTTTTGTTTTCGAACATCTTTCTCTCCCTCAGCTTTTTCCTCAGTCTGTCTATCCGTCTAACTCTCTCTCTCTCTAACACACATTGTGTCAAATCAATCCGAATATCTTCTATTTTCACATATTTAATCCTTGTTAATCACGGGACATAACATGCATCGAGAAAATCTCCCAACAGCAAAAGTGTCAAACACAATTTTTTATCGGCATCATTAGCAAAACCATGAGAGAGAGGGAGACGGAGTGATCTGGGGAATGGGGTTAGAGAATACAGCTTCAGTGCGGGATATCGAGCAAAAGTGCAGAGAGAGAGAGCCGGGGAAAGGCGTTAGAGCAGAAATCTCCAGTGTGGAGAAAGCGAGCACAAACAGGATGGGGAAGTGAGAGATGTAGTCTCCACACATCAGCCTCCGAGGCACTTGTGCACCACAGTGACGCAAATGCTGTCCTTCATGGTAATGTCGCAAAGCTTCTTCATTTTCTCCAGCTCCGAAGATTTCCAGTAGAGGATCTGGGATTCTACCGGGATTCCCATTTCCCGGGATATCGCGTTCTTCAGCTCGTAGACTCTCATATGCATTGGAATCTGCAGAGCCCTCTGCTTCCCCTCGCAGGTCTGCACACAGACAGTGATGTTCGGGAGAGATTTGCGGGCGCTGGAGACCAGCGGGTCAGATACACCAGGGTGGAGGTGATAGGCCGTCAACTTCACCCCCTCCTGAGGCTTTGGGGTTTTAGATTGCCTCGCGAGGGCCACTCCCACCTCCTGAAACTGGGCAACAAAACAGATCGATAAACACGGATTCTTAACACGCTTTGTAATATACATCAAATATTATTCATTACTTCAGTAAGACTTGTGTCAGACTGGCTCAGTGGCTGTGTGTCAGCCTGGCTCAGCGGCTCTATGTCATCCTGGCTCAGTGGCTGTGTGTCAGCCTGGCTCAGTGACTGTGTGTCAGCCTGGCTCAGTGGCAGTGTGTCAGCCTGGATCAGTGACTGTGTGACATCCACACTAAGTGACTGTGTGCCAGCCTGGACAGTGACTGTGTCTCAGCGTGGCTCAATGGCTGTGTGTCAGCCTGACTCAGTGACTGTGTGTCAGCCTGGCTCAGTGGCAGTGTGTCAGCCTGGATCAGTGACTGTGTGACATCCTCACTCAGTGACTGTGTGCCAGTGTGGATCAGTGACTGTGTCTCAGCGTGGCTCAGTGACTGTGTGTCAGCCTGGCTAAGTGACTGTGTCTCAGCGTGGCTCAGTGACTGTGTGTCAGCCTGTCTCAGTGACTGTGTGTCAGCCTGTCTCAGTGACTGTGTGTCAGCCTGGCTCAGTTTCTCCCCAGTAAGAAGTTAGTTTGTTTGATTCGCCTCAGTACACACCTGTGCTCGGAAGCTGCGTTGTCCAGCGTTGGTGCCCGAGACAGAGAGTTTCTCATTGTCAACGAAGCTAAAATTGTTTGACTCCTCGTCCTTGCCCTGCTCAGGGCAAATGTTATAATTCTAATCACTGCATTTGTAACACTGTTCTCGTCTTTTTTGGACGTCTAAAATCGCTTCTTAGAATGTCTCTGTCTCTCGCACCAGCGCTGGACAGCTCAGACAACGCAGCTTCCGAGCTCAGGTGTGTACTGGGGCGATTCAAACAAACTGTCTTCTTTCAGAACTCTGCAGCTCGTGTACTGTCCCGCACCAGCCTTAGCGACCACATAAATCCCACCCTCGCTCGCCTGCACTGGCTCCCCATCCCCGAGAGGATCGAATTCAAGATCCTCATCCTCACCTACATGGCCTTGCTCCCTCCTACCTCTCTGACCTACTACCCCCTACCTACCTGCCCGTACCCTCCGTTCCTCAGGCTCCGGTCTGCTGCACATCCCCCGCCGTTACCGCCCTACCATCGGTGGTCGGACATTTAGCCTCTCCGAACCAAATTTCTGGGATTCGATCCCCCAGTGTCTTCGCCTTGCCTCCACCCTTTCCTCCTTGAAGGCCGGTTTCAAGACCTTTCTCTTTGACCGAGCCTTCAGCTCCCCTCTCGACTCCCTACCGCTCCTCGCTCTCTCCCTTTCCTCCCATGACTCTCAACATATCACCCCTCCTCGTTCCCTCCCTTCCCTCCCCTCACCCTGACCATTCCCCCCACTGCTCGTGTCCTGACCCAAATGAACAGCGCCTTGGGACGTCCTCCCGACGTCAAATGCGCTCTATAAATGGTATCTTGTTGTTGTACTGTACAATGAATTGACGAAATATTTCATGGACTAAACGCGGCAATCAATTACATACAACAGTGTCCTACCAACAGTTATGCAATGAGTGATCAATTATTATTGTTTTTATTTTCTTGAGGGATTATGATTAGGTGTGTGGAGTAAGGAAACTTGCCCAAGGTTTCACGCTGCTGGGTATCGATTCAACCCTTACCCTAACACTAATTGCGAGGCAAATTATCTAACCAATGACCTAACATGGACTAAATAAATAAAAATAACATGGGTTTCATGATAAGCATCTCCCACTCCACTAACTTTAGGAGAATACAATTTCTCCTTCTCTTTTAGTACTTCTATCACTTTCAACATCTCTTAATTTCTCTTCCTTTCTCCCTGTGTTTTTCGCTGTGTTACCCTTTCTCTTTTTCTTCTCTCTCTCGATATCTCTTAGTTTCTCGCTCTCAAAATGTCTCCTTCCGAATTTCCTTCTCTCTGTGTGTCTCTCTCGCTCAAAGTCTTAGTTTCGCTTTCTCTCTCGCAATCTGTCTCACCTCAATCGCTCCCTGTATCTGTCTCTCTCTCTTAATCTCTTTCACATTTTCACTCGCTCTCTCTGAGATCATAATTCTCTCTCGCAGTCTCTCACTCTCAGATACATTCTGAGTCTATGTCACACTCTCCCGGTGTCTCTCTCTCAGTCTCCCGCACATTCTCTCTCTCTCTACCTCTCTCTCTCACCCCGTTTCAGTCTCTTTCTCTGTCTCTCCCGCAAAACACAGTCACTACACTTTATTATATATTCGCCACCTCTCTCTCTCTCTCTCTCTCTCTCCCAGTCTACCACGTTTCTGGTGAACTGGCTGACAGCTCACTTAACTGGTGTCTTTAATTGGTTTTGTCTAGAGGTCTGAAAACGCTTAACAGAACTGTAGAGTGAATTGAATGTATATTTCGTGGGATGAACGCAGCGTCCAATTGCACACAGCAGTATCCTACAAACAGTTGTGCATTGTGCGACCAATTATCTTTGTTTTAGTTTTCTTTAGGGATTATTACTAGGTGTGTGCAGCTAGGAAACTTGCTCAAGGTTTCACACTGCTGGGCATCGGTCCAAGGAGTCCTGCTTGCGAGACAAGTCATAACGACTGAGCTAAATAAATGAACATGGGATTTTTGTTCAACTTCTCCCACTCCGCTAACTTCGGGAAAAGGCAGTTTCGCCCTCATTCTCTTTTAGTACAATAACAAGATTCCATTTATTGAGCGCCTTTTACGTCGGGAGAACGTCCCAAGGCGCTGTACAGTGAGGACAGGACCCGAGCAGGCGGGAATGGTCAGGGTGAGGGAGGAAAGGGAGGGAGCGAGGGGGTAGAGAGTCGAGAGGGGAGCAGAAGGCACCGTCTATCATTCTCAGAATCTCTTAGTGTCTCTCTCTTTCTCGTTGAATTTTACGCCATGTTTCCATTGGTCAGTTTTTTCTCTTTCAAAACCTTAGTTTCTCCTTCTCAAAATGTCTCTCTCCCAGTTTCCTTCTCTGTGTGCGTTTCTCTCTCGCTCAAAATCTTAGTGTCTCTATCTCTCGCAGTCTCTCTCACTTCAACAGCTCCCTGTATCTGTCTTTCTCTTAATCGCGTGCATATTTTCTCTCGCTCTCTGTGGGATCATAATTCTCTCTCGCAGTCTGTCTCCAACTCAGTCACACTCTGAGTCTCTACCACTCTCCCCTCTCTTCTCTCTCTCTCTCTCTCTCTCTCTCGAAGTCTATCGCATATTTTCTCTCTCTCTCTCTAACCCCCTCTCGCCCTCTCTCTATCTTTCTCTCGCCTCCTTTGTCTCTCTCTCTTTCTCTGTCTCTGTGTCTCTCCCGTAAAACACATTCACTGTACTTTATAATATATTCACGCTCTCTCTTTCTCTCTCTCTCTAAACCCTCTCTCGCTCCCTCTCAATCTCTCTCTCGCCTCCCCTCTCTCTCTTTCTTTCTCTATCTCTGTCTCTGTGTCTCTCCCGTAAAACATTTTCACTACACTTTATAATATATTCACGCTCTCTCTTTCTCTCTCAAACTCGCACACTTCTGGTGAGTGTTTGACAGATAAAGCTGCTCACTGGACTGCTGTTGATAGAGCCGTCACTGTGAGCAGACAGGCGCTGCCAGGTTAAACACACAGTCACCACACTGTACAGTGAGATTCTGCAAATCACTTTGAAATGTCATCAAAGGGACGGGAAGCGAAAAGTCAAACGTGAGATCATTGTTATTGTTTTGTCCAGTTAAAAATTCTTAGTCATTTCAAAATTTAAACCTTGCCCATGTTAAATTCTTACCAGATCATATTTGACGGTGCGCTGAAGTGCCGTCATTCTTCTGTCTGTTTCTCTCGCCCTG